TTGTGCTTTTGCTCCGCGCCGACAATGACTTTGCGCTGGACCCGCGCGTGGAAAGCGTCCCGACCGACGTGCTGGCCGCGTTTGCTGCCACGTACGTTGCCCGCTACGTGCACTTTGGCGACTGCATCAGGAGCGTCTACAACGACAGCTACCTGTGCAAGGTCCTTGGCATCACGCTGCGTCACGACGCTGTCGAAGTCCACTTCCACGTGACTGGCGATCGAACTGAAGGCGACCTGCAACACCCGCGCCACGCCACGCTGCATGTCGATGACCACGCGCTCAAGCCCATGCGCATGTGGCTCATCGACGCAGATCCATCGTGGCTTACGCAGGCATCCTGCGCTACGAGACGCACGTGACGCAAGACAGCGTGCTCCGATTCGAGTATGGCTGGAGTGGCTACTCGGACGCTACGCTCTGTGCATTGACCGACGACTTTTGCACCGCGCACGCCCTCGACCATGTCGTGCGCGCTAAACCAGGACGCTCTGTGGTATAATGTAATATGATACATCGCTGTCCTGACAATTTTTGTCCAATTTCGTTTACATGTCTTAGTAGCTGTATTCGTAGCCAATTCGGCACTTTATTGGTCCTTGGAATCGCTATTCAGGCAGATTTGGAGAACCAAGTCTTCTTTACCAGAGGTCCACGCGCGCTTTCAAACCGTTGAGCTCCTGCTAAAAGCCGCCTGGGATACAGAATTGGGACATGGCTCTGTCGCATATCAACGGCTCGGTTTGGCTCGGTTCGAAGCCGAGCCGAGAAAATGGAGCCAAAACCAGAGCAACACTGAGCGAACCGTGGGGAGTTGTGACCACAACCTGTCACGGTGTTCGCCTTCTATACTACAATTATAGTACTAGTTTTGGGAGTCTCTGCATGAAATCCTTCCTGGACGATGCGAGCTTCTTCGGCTCCATTGTTCGAGCCAAGCCGAGCCGAGCCGAGCCTAGCCGAGCTACCTACATCGTATTTGCGCGTGCTGATTGGGCCCATTTTACTAAAATGGGCCCAATTGATTGAAATCGAGTACATTGCAATCTTTTTAAATTGTGGCAACACATCCCAGCAACAATCAAGCAAGAATCCGCCATGCCTTCATCGATCGCAGCGCTGACAACCGTACTTGTGCCCATGGCCGTCGACGGCTACCTCGTACCTCACGACGTCCTCGCCTTGGAGCTCGTGTGCAAGGAGCTCCGCGGTGTCTTGATTGATGCGAGCAGTGCGATCTGGCAAAGCTTCACGCAGCGCTACGGTGGTCTTCTGGCGGCCGACTCGCGCTCGGAAGCCTCGTTTGAGCTGGTGGGCTTTGCCCATGAGCATCCATTTAAAGTATTTGCGCTGCGCGACGGTCATTCCTTTGACTTGGATCCGCGACTGGCCGACGCTCCCGTCGACGGCTGGCGATGCTCGTTCCCGCGAGCGTACTCGACGCGCTACGTCCACTTGGAGTCGGCGCAATGGAGCGTCTTCAACCAAACGTACCGATGTGCCGTCCTCGGTATTTCTTTTAGCAAGGGAGCGATCGAGCTGCGCTTTCACATAAATGGCAACCACAGCCTCGGTGGGCTGCAAGATCCGTGGTACTCGAAGCTACGCATCGACGACGAGTGCCTCCGACCGACGGACGTGTGGCTCACTGACAACCATAGCAAATGCTCGTACGCAGGCGTCTTGCGCTTCCGCGTCGCCTTGGCGCGCGGTCGCGTCGTTCAGTTCACGTACGGTTACAGCGGGTACTCAACCGCTTTCGTGTGCGAGCTCACCGAGACCTTTTGTCGCCAACACTCCCTCGAGCATCTCTTGGAGGACTCGTAATGGCTCCTACATACCCATGAATTCGTTTCGATCCATGTCTTGGCAATGAAAACTTCCTGCCTCCTGACGTGGCACGAGGGGTCGGGGTCGTAACCCTAACCCATGTATTTTTTGCACGGGCCAAACCGATCGAATTTGTTTGAACGAGGTGAAAGGCGAGCGCGACGAGAGGCTTCAATTGCCATCCAGATCTTGGCGGCTATCTTAGTGGCGCACTCAGCTTCGTATACGTTTGGCGCTGCTCGGTGGATCATCTGTCGTCTTCAAATGAACGCGGTCGTCAAGAAGGTCCCGTGGCTGCCTCGTGCCCCGCGACGTCCGCCTCGGAGCTTGTATGCAAGGAGCTCCGCAGTGTCTTGATCGATGCGGGCAGTGCGGCCTCACCAAGCCTTGTGCCGCGCTACGGTGGCTCTTCTGGCCTCCGACTCACGCAGGGAGACTCGTCTGCTTCTTTATTTTCGACGAGACGCGGGATGTGCTCACGCTCTACGACAGCCACGACTTCCTTTTGGACCCGCGTCTCCAAAGCGCCGACGTTGAGCCCGATGGCTTCAAGTGCCTATGAACGTACGCGACGTCCACTTGAACTCGGCGCGGTGGAGTATCTTGAACGGCTGCAAACTCCTGGGCGTCGCATTTGCCACGACCTACATGTTCATGTGACGCTCCCTCGGTGAGCTCCGAGAACCATGGGTGCCGCTGCTTTGCATCGGCGCCGAAGTACTCCTTCCTCGTTTGGCTCACCGTGAACTGAGCTGAAGACGCGTACGCAGGCGATTCGCGCTAAGTCGATTTGATGCCGAGGTGTCATCTAGTGCGGACGGCCAAGTTCCGCGTTGCAAGCCCACACCTGCATTTTGTCATCGCATCTGCACGTCCTATCGCACGTGCAGTCGCTTTCTACTCCATTACATTAGCCGATATCTTGACGATCCAAACAATGCATAGTACGTGTAAACAGATTCAGGCTTAACGAAGGACTAGTCGAGTGATTTACTTCTTCCCGAGCGTCGGCATGACGGTGCCGTACTGCGTCTTCTTGCCGAACTCCCACTGCGCCGTGATCGTCTTGGTCTGCGTGTAAAACATCACGCCCTGCTTGCCATAGAAATGCAAGTCGCCGCGGATCGACGAGCGCGAGCCCGTGAACGAGAAGAAGGGCAGTGGCACGGGGATCGGCACGTTGATGCCGACCTGGCCAACGTCGATCTCGTGCTGGAACTTGCGCGCCGCGGGGCCCGACTGCGTAAAGATCGACGTGCCGTTGCCGTACGGGTTGGCGTTGATGAGTTCGATGGCGTCGTCGAGCGTCTCGACCGAGTTGCACACGAGGACGGGGCCGAAAAGCTCCTCGACGTACGACGGGTTGGAGATGTCGACGTTGTTGAGCAGCGTCGGGCCGACAAAGTTACCGTTCGGGTACTTGGGCACCTTGACGTTGCGGCCATCCAAAAGGAGCTCCGCGCCCGCGTCGACGCCGGCCTGGATGAGATCCTCGACGCGCTTCTTCGACTCCTTGGTGATGAGCGGGCCAACGTCCGTGTTGGGCTCGAGGCCGCCGTTGACCGTGAACGTCTTGGCTTTCTCCACAATGTCGTGCACCCATTCTTTGGTCTCGCCCACAAAGATGACGACCGAGAGCGCCATGCAGCGCTGGCCGGCGGCGCCAAAGGCCGCACCCGCGAGCGCGTTGATGGTCTGCTCCTTGTCCGCATCCGGGAGGATCACGGCGTGGTTCTTCGCGCCGAGGTTGGCCTGGACGCGCTTGCCGTTGGCCGTGCCACGGGCGTGGATGTACTCGCCGGCGTTGTTGCCACCGACAAACGAAATGGCCTTGATTTCCGGCGCGTCGCAGATAAAGTTGACCGCGTCCTTGGCGCCGTGGATGACGTTGAGGACACCGTCGGGGACGCCGGCCTCCTGCGCGAGCTTGGCGAGAATCATGGCGGCGCCCGGGTCCTTCTCGGACGGCTTGAGGATGTACGTGTTGCCCGTCGTGATACCCACGGGGAACATCCAGAGCGGGATCATGGCCGGGAAGTTGAACGGACAAATGCCCGCGCAGACGCCGAGCGGCTGCTTGTACGAGTACGTGTCGAGCGAGTTCGCGAGGTTGCCGAGCGTCTCGCCCATCATGTGGTTGCCAATGCCGCAGCTGGCCTCGACGATCTCAAGGCCGCGGAAGACGTCGCCGCGCGCATCCGCGAGCGTCTTGCCCTGTTCCTTCGTGATCGAGTGCGCGAGCTCCTCCGTGTGGTCGCGCACGAGCTGCTGGAGCTTGAGCATGACGCGCTGGCGGTGCTGGACCGGCACCTCCTTCCACGTCTTGAAGGCAACCTTGGCCGCATCCGCCGCCGCCTGGAGCTCTTCCGGCGTCGTCTCGGGCACTTGGCACACAACCTCGTTCGTCGCCGGGTTGCGCACGTCGATCCACTTGGTGGTCTTGGACTGGACAAACTGGCCGTTGATGAAGTTGGGCACACGCTCCTAGTAGCTCGCCATGAGACCCAGAGATGGCAGGTAGAAGCATGCGTACCGGCGCCGCCGAGAAGGCGCGGGTCGACGCGCGGCGAAGGACCGGCGAGGAAGTCAGAGAGCGAAGCATGGGGCTCGGGTCAAATTGCCAAATGACGCCAGATCACGGATCCTCGACGTCGACTAAGTGCGACCTGCCACGCACGTGCGGCCCACGAACTTGAAATAGTGTGAATTGGTGAAGATTCACTGCGCGCCACTGCGCGACGTGCAAGCAAAGGCACCATTTGCACGTGTGCTAGAAGGCACCAAGTAGGCTCACACGACGCATTGATTCAAGGGTATAGAGGCACATCGTAGCAAGGACCGTCTCGGGATCTGCATGGTATTTTGAGCTGGGTGCAAGTGCTATGGTAGAATACCGAGCCGAGATCGACGAAATTGGTGAGCATGACTATGGTCCAAGGTGTACGCGGCGTACTAGGCTCACGTACAACTTTGATGGGCGCTTAGAGGCCATGTAATGAGCATCCCAGGCCAATGAAAGCAGCCTTCATTGGCTTGAGGAGCTAATTATGTGCACTATTTACAAGTAGGGATACACTATTTCAGAATATCCGTGGATCCGCGACGCGGCAGTTTTGTTAAGTGCGAACGTTGCTGCAGAAGGGCAACCGAGGGGCGTGGGGCGAATGGATAAAAATGTATATTCGTGCAACTGGTTCTTTGTATGTAATTATTTTTTGGGTTTAATGCTCGATTAAGTGCGCACGTGGAGATGCCTCAAAGTCGCACTCCAAGTTGAAGTTGGAAACAGCTTGCAGCTCCAATTTATTTCCGTTCGTCCCGCGACATACAAACACCAAGACAAAACCATTGGACAGTCATTATTTACCCGAATGCCATGCTGTGCACATGGGTATGATGAGCCACATCGGCGGCGCGATGCGAGGAGCGGTGCGCGTGCCATAGCGGCTCAGGGCCCGGAAAACCGACCCGATCCCATTCACGACGACCTTGAGTAGATGATTTATGCTGCGTAAGCTCGGCCACCGCTATTCTAGCTGTCGCCGCTTCGCCCAGCACGCTGGACCACGTGGGTCACAGCGTACAATGTGGTATGCAACCGTATGGGTGGCGCAATCACATTTTCGCGTTCAAGTACTTATTGAGCGTGTGAAAAGGCTTGGCGATGAACAGTAGCAAGCCGTGCACACACAGCTTGGCTGGTCGACGACGACGGCATCAACGAACGTTCCAGCTCTAGAACAGAGGTGACCAAGCAAGGGGACGTGGTGCGACGCATCGACGAGAGGTGGTTCTGCCTTTGTTGCATGGAGCAGACGCCGTCTTGGTACATAAACCGACACCAGATCTTGTTACTCGAAAAACATGGCGAGCGATGCTGCGGCGACAGGGTCCACGCGGCCGTCGGCGAGCAGTAGTGCCGTCATGGGCTCATCATATCGCGCCAACATCAGCGCAGCACTCGACTTGGCACTTGGATCGACCAGCGGGTGCTTTAGAAGCTCCTCGACCGCCTCGAGGTAGCCAATCTGGCAGAACCAGCGAAAGAGGCGGCCGTCCCGGTCGCCAATGTCAAAGGCCGGGTGCTTCCGCACGACGTCGACGACCGACAGCGTCGACTCGAACGTCATGTGATGCTGTGAATGCCACGTCATCATGCTGAACCCGCAGTACGTGTCGACAAACGTCATGGCTGCGATGGCATCGTGCATCGTAGCGGGCAAGAGCCGCGGGTCGTCGAGCATGTACTGGACCGCGTCGAGGTGCCCATAATGACACGCATGTGTGAACGTCTCTTGGACGAGGTCGGAGATCCGGTCCGCCACGCTTGGGTACTGCGCGCAGAGAAGGTCGACGATACCGCGGTTGCGCTTGAGGGCCATGCGCACGCCAAAGAAATCGTGGGCGGTCACGTCGACACGCTTGTCGCGCACGAGCTCGGCGACGGCCGCGAAATGCCCATGGAGGCACGCCCACCGAAAGATGCGCGAGTCCATGGCCTCGGGTGCGAAGGACGGCTGCTGCAAAAGCTGCGTCACAAGGCGCGCAGCGTCGGGCGCGCCGAGTCGGTTGGCGTCAAACCACTCATGGACACTGGATGGCACCGCGGATGTCGGCGGATGCTGGAACATGGTCGCGAAGATGGGCAGCTTCTCATGCAGCCACAGACCTCGGGTCGACGTCCACGCCATCGCTGCCCAATGCACGACAACTGCTATGCACATGGGCTGCATCCCAGCGGAGCGACTTATAGCTTTCGATTGACACCACCTTACGGTCAGTTGATTGGCTGCGGTTCTTTTCGATCGACCAATCCAAAGCGAGATCAATGTCGACATGGGATTGGCCAAAATAGAACGTCGATTATTCGTTGCGGCACATGCCACGTCGAAGCGTCCATGTCGAAGAAACAGCTGGCACCTGTCAAATTCGATACAAAATCCGACCTTTGGCCATCGAGCGATGGAACAAGATCTGCCGCTGCGCGAGTCGCTGCTCATGGCCACCGAGCCGGCGCCCGTCCCGACGCAGGCGACGAGCGGCGCATTGAAGCTCTCGGCGTACTTCATTGCGCTCAGCTCCTTCCTCTGGGGCTACGGCTTCTCGGTGCTCAACGTCTGCATCGCGGAGAATGCGGCCGGCTCGATCCTCGTCGACTTTGATCTCTCGGACGCCGAAATTGAGCTCGCATCCTCGCTCGTGCTCATTGGCGCCTGGGTCTCAGCGCTCTTGACGGCGTCCATGGCCGATGCGTACGGCCGCCGGAAGCTGCTCCTCGCCAACAACCTCCTCTTTGTCGGCGGTGCGATTGCGTGCGCCTGCGCCAAGACGAAAGGCGACATCTACATTGGCCGCACGATCATCGGCCTCGCTTGCGGCATTGTCACGAACGTGACGCCTATCTTGCTGGCCGAGATCGCGCCGGCCGAGAGCCGCGGCCAAATTACCACCTTGCACCAGCTCATGCTCACGATCGGCATCTTGGGCTCCTCGGTCTTGGGCTACGGCTTGGTCTCGTCCGTGCCGTCCGGGTGGCGCGTACGTGGACCTGTAGTATGTACCTTGCGAGGGCTCACGGTGGGTAGTATGTGAACGCGTTCGTTGCCGTACCCGCGCTCCTCCAAGTGATGCTCATGCCATGGGTCCCCGAAAGCCCGCGTTGGCTCCTCGCGAATGGCAAGGACGAAGAGGCGCGAACGCAGCTCGTGCGCCTTCGCCACGTCGTGTACGTGACCGACATTGACGTCGAGCTCAAGCAGCTGCGGCACGACATTCTCGCCGACAAGAGAGCGTCGCCCACGGTAACCTTGTTGTCACTGCTTCTGTGGACACGTGGAATAGGATGTTTCCTTTTGCCATCTCTGGATCTACAAGCGGCCGATGCTCATCGGGAGCTTCCTCGTCTTCTTTCAAGCGTACTGCTTTATAGGTTTTCGCATCGGATACCACCCATTGGATGTATTAGCATGACGGGCATCAACACGGTCATTCTGTACTCGTCCAAGATCTTCCACTTTGCCGGCGTCGACGAGCCCATCATGGCGACCGCGTCCGTGGGCACGATCAACGTCATCACGACCGTCCTTTCGGTCTTCCTCGTCGGTGCGTGGTATCCTGATGTCAAGCCTTCTTTGGAATACAAGTAGACTACTGTGGGCGCAAGATCTTGCTTCTCGTGAGCAGTGCACTCATGGCACTCTCGCTCGGCGTGCTTAGCTACACGCTGCTGTACCTCAGCGACAAGCTCCAGGGCATCCTCGCGGTCATCTGCGTGCTCGTCTTTGTCGCTGGCTTTGCCGTCGGCCTCGGTGCTGTCATCTGGTACCGATATGACATGATGCTCGAGCGCGTAGGATAGATCTTATGGTGGTCTTATTGTGTGTGTAGGGTTGTGCTAGGTGAAATCACGCCAAGCGTCATTCGTACGCGGGCCATGGGGGTCTTTATGGCCATCAGCTACGCGTGCAACGTCTTCGTGGCCACGTGCACGCTCGGCATCATCAAGGCGCTCGGCCACGGCCACAAAGACGTCGAGAAGAACGGCATTGCCAAGCTCTACTTGATTTGCGGGTACGATGCGTTCGATCTGGATACTGTTGAATAGGTGGATAGTGATGTGTATATACTATATGGTGGATAGGGGCCTCTCAGTGCTCTGCTTTCTCTTTATCGCCAAGTTTGTCCCCGAGACAAAAGGGCTCTCGCACGCACACGCTGGTGTCGAGAAGGATGAAACAACGTATGATGATGATGACGACGGCGCGACGTCCCGACTCCGCGTCTCGAGCGACGAGGCGACGCTCCTATCGAGCGAGAGCTCCCGCAGTAGCCGCGCGTAAGCATCGATCGTATCCGTCGCCCCTGCGTGGTTGCTGTACTTAGCTGGCATGTAGTAACCTAGACCGAGGGCATTTTCATGCCTTGGGGGAAATCCAAATACGTTGACGTTGCGTTGTCCATGCGAAGAACAGTCGCGAGAAATTCTATCGGACAACAGCTGGCGTTCAGTGTTGTGTGCGCATAGGCAGTGGGTGCGACCGATCCATTCATCTTCGAATTGGACCGCCCTTGGAGAGGACATATCTCTTTTTTTATTCGAAACGCAATAAGGTAGCTCGTCGAGTAGCCTGCTAACTAACCGGGGTAGTAAAGGTGCACTCAACGATTCAGTCCTCTACTTGCCTGGATGGTAGGGACGACTCAACTACGGTGAATTCTCGAGTTAGAGTGTTGGCGCTCGCATGTGTCGCGATGCCATCCTAGTCACTTCATGTAGGATCGTCCCGTTGGATCAAGAGACATGCGTGACCTGTGGGCGGCAGCTGGTTGTCCAGTGACGTCGTAATGTAGGTCACGGAATGTATGCGCATCAGCCGGGTTAGGGGTGCTGCTTTCAAGACTAGTGCAGCATCATTGCAGAAGATGCTCGACATCGTAGAGATCCCAACAAAAGCGCTCTTCCTTGAGCGCACGCGCTGCTTGAAGCGGACGCCAATGCCAGCAACAGCGTCAACAACCAAAAAGACCACGTGGTACTTCCTTTTGGTCGACGACGACATCGATCGCGCGGTGGCCGCCGCCGTCTTGTCGACGACCCACGGCCTCTTCCTCGGACCTTCCATGACGAGCAACGGCGCGATTGCGCTAGGACAGTACGTGGCGCTGCACCAAATCGCGTCGTTCCCGTCACTCCACGGGGATCCAAGCTGCATGGTCGCCTTTGCCAGCGGCTACTCACGGTCGCTTGGCCATGTGACGTCGCTCAACACCCCGCAGTGGCTGGACAGGCTGTACTTCAACATCGAACTCAAGATCGACGGCGACTCGCTTTGGAGCCTTGACACAGGCAAGAACCACAACCGCTCGACGACCTTGTGCCGTGCCGAGAGCGAAGGCGCCACGATGCACCGATGATTCATGTATATTTACCTTTTCAAAATGCAGCATGTTGTGGTTAGTGCACACGACCTCTACACTACACGTGCTTGCAGTTCTGCTCGCAGTTCAAGTTGAAGCTTAACAACGCCGCCTCTCCTTAGGTCTAGGTTTAGCTTCTTGTAGTACGTGTAATTCACTCACTCTTCATTTCCACGCCTCTTGAGCCCCTGGCTCCCACCACCCTTGGTGCGCAGGCGGAGCAGGACTCAACAGGTTATGAGCCTTACGCAAGAGAAGTGAGTACGCCTCGGCAGGACTCAACACAGCAATCCCTTCGCATTGGACTTGAAATCACGCCACTTGATACAGGTTCTTGATAGAACCGCGTAGGCTGACACGGGCGTTTTGCCGAGTCGGCGAGGACAAACCACGCGACCGAGGGATCTATACACGCTCATATGATTGGTCGCGCCAAACGCCCTTTTGCATTGATGCTGTAGCACATTGCTCATTGGCTGCGCGGTTCGAATCGTGACGACGGTCTGTCACTTGGCACAAGGCTGATAAAACTGTACACCCAGCTTATTACACTACTGTACGCGGCCCCTTGTGACGCCTGAGGCAGCCGCCCAACGAGCCGCGTTCTTGACCAAGCTGCACCTCCAACACCTGCTGCTGAACACTCAAGCATCGTGCCTCTTCCGAATGATGGCAGCCCTGCGGCACGACGCATGGCTACGCGACAACTTTGTTCCGGCATGTGCCGTTTACACGCCACGTCTCCCGCTCGGCTAAGCCTCTCGGCGGCCGGCTCGTCGTAGCACCTTGGAATCGATAGTCCACCACCATATCCAGTTCAGTGTAAATTATATCTAAATAGACTCACTTCAACAACACTACTGTACGCGTCCCTAGCATATCGGACTATTAATAGTTGAGAGCACTGCTAACGTCAGAGCTCCGATTCGCTTTCATACAAAATGTGCCCAAATCGTCTTCAGCACTATCTTCCTACAGAGCCGTCGTGCGATGCCACGACCAGCACAAGCTTCCAAGCGGCCCGACCGACGTTGCATCAATACCGGTAATGACAATGCTCGGGTCGTCGCGTCTGAGTCGAGTGAATCGCAACGAGTTCCTTGGCGTTGGCGTCGACGAGTTCATTAAGCGTCGCAGCGCATCCTTCTCCAGCGACAGCCATGCAGCATGTTCGCTTCGAAAATCCCGTCGGCACGGTTCACCATGCTTCTCTCCCTTCTGCCACATCACAAGAACTTGCGCTTCAAGGTAGAGTGATGGTTGTCGCCAGATGTTGCATATGCGACATGCCACATTCCCGTGGCCAACAAACGCCACAGGTCCCGCCCACAATGCAATTGACTACTAGTATGGTCTACGTCCGCCAACTCGACTCGGCGGCCGAGTACTTGGCCGCGACCCACCTCCTTCGCATCTCTTTGCTTGAGGCGACCAATCATATGAGCTGCATCGCGTGCACCGATCCCTCGGCCGCCTGGTTTGTCCTTGCCGACTCGGGAAACTGCCCCGTGTCGGCCTACGCGGTTCTGTCACGAGCCCGCGGCGTGCTTCTAAGTCCGTTCATGACACCGAACGAGGCGTCGGCGCTCGCAAGGTACTTAAGGACGCTCTCGCTTCCGATGCCGGGCACCGTCCGCGGTCTTCCTGAGAGCGTCGCGGGTTTCGCTGTCAACATGCCGCACGATATCACCCGCGAGGCGTGGCTCTACCGCCTCGACCGCGTCAAGCTACCCGCCAACGCTGTTGCGGGGACCCTCACTGTCGCCACGGACACGCACGCGGCGCAGCTTCGAGCGTGGTACAAGCTCTTCAAGCGCGAGTGCTTTGACGAAACCTTAGACGACGTCGTCGCGTCCGCATTAGTGCAGCGTGGCCTATGGCGCAAGGCGCTCTACGTCTGGATCGCCGACGGGGTTGTTGTCGGCTTTGGCGGCGTCGCGCCACCGATGACGACGGACGCGATGACGGTGTATATGCTCGGTCCGATCTTCATTGCCCCAGACGCACGCGGCCATGGCTTTTCAAAGGGGCTCACGGCCGCCATCAGCGCGACGCTGCTGGACACGTGCCCGACGCCGCAAGCGTCGATTACGCTCTACGCCGACGTAAAGAACCCGGCAGCCAACGCTGCGTACAAGGCGGTGGGGTTTCTTCCCATCGAACGTGACGTGACGTGTGCACTGCGCCGCGAGCCATGATGTGACATGTGCGATCACTTCAACTTGCAGATGAAAGTCAGGGTGACAGTAATAATGCCAGAAGGGTGGAAAAGTTGTCTGTAGTCGTACATGGTCGATTGCGGTCGGAGCGTGCATTAACCCTATAGGATTAACCCTATTGGATGTTATGGCAGTAAAATTTACTGGTATTGCTGTGCTGTCTCCGGGCAGCGTTTCTCCCCGTCCTGTGCCGGTAACGTTACACCAAGAGTACATAAATAAAATTGAATTCGTGGTTTACCGCACGCCAGGATGAAGATGGGCTCCCCGCTGACCTCGCATGAAGGGTACCTGATTTTCAACCATGAGCAGGTATGGCATTTCGGCCAACAGCAAGGATGCCGAGTACGGCAGTGGACTGCAGTACTAGACTCACAACCAGAAGCAACGCCCATCTTTTGAATCTACTACATGTATTACCATGCGTCTACGCTCCCCAGTCGCTTCCAGCTCAAACTCCACCATCCGACCAACGAACGCAGTGGTACCTCGAAGAACTTGAGGTGTCACCACGGGAATTTGTTGCACGTGGTTTGAGGACCACATGTCTTTGGGTCCAACCGTCTTCAAGAACGTCGTATTCGTTGCTGTTCCTACCAGCACCCGCTCCCATGGCCACGAAAGGTGAGCGTTGGTCCTGTGATAGGCGTGTGTCGGTCGAGCTCATTGACAAAGTGGCTCTGCAATGCACATCCATCGTCTCTTCTCCGCAAGCAGTTTCTTGGACGCCACACGCGCGCTTCGCTTGACGGCGCT